CTTACTGGGAAAAGCCTTATTTTAAAGTTTTAAGGCACATTATTATATTTGGGGGGGGTGTAGGGCAGATCAAGCTTGTTTCCCTTATCTTAAATTCAGCTACCCACCCCCACCCCCCATCCTATTGATAGAATTCTGTAAGGGCCTGCATTCATGTCCTGAAGCAGTGGTTCTCAACCTTTTTAATGCCGCGACCCCCAACCGGTCGTAAGTCGAGGACTACTCAACCGGTCGTAAGTCGAGGACTACTCAACTGGGGCAACACCGTTTGCAGAATGGGACTTTTGGCGGGCTCAGCAGGGCAGAGACAGCCTGGACAATTCCTATTGGCTTTTGAAAGCCAATAGAATTAGACTCTGTTCAAGAGAGTCTATTCGATTGGCTTTCAAAAGCCAATAGAATAAAAGGGAGGAGCACAGCTAAGGAAAAGAGGAAAAAAATGGTGGACTGCGTTGTTTGGCGACCCCCGTGAAATGGTCGTTCGACCCCAAATGGGGTCCCGACCCACAGGTTGAGAACCACTGTCCTGAAGGGTTTTAATCAGAATGAATTGAAACTAAAGCAATTATTGGTTTTTAGGTGTGGCTTTGAATGTAGGAGCTGTATATTGCCATGGGCCCCTTGGTGTGTATTGGAGATGAATGCATTTTGTAAATAATAATAATAGTCATAATAATAATAATAGTCATAATAATAATAAAGTTGGAAGGGATCTTGGAGGTCATCTAGTCCAACCCCCTGCTCAGGCGGGAAACCCTACACCATTTCAGACAAATGGCTGTCCAGTCTCTTCTTAAAAACTTCCAGTGATGGAGCATCCACAGCTTCTGGAGGCAGGTAGTTCCACTGATTAATTGTCCTCACTGTCAGGAAGTTTCTCCTTAGTTCCAGGTTGCTTCTCTCTTTGGTTAGTTTCCATCCATTTGCCTCCTGTCCTGCCTTCGGGCGCTTTGGAGACTAGATTGACTCCGTCTTCTTTGGGGCAGCCCCTGAGATATTGGAAGACTGCTATCATGTCCCCCCTCGTCCTTCTCTTCATTAAACTAGAACTAGTTAATGAAAAGCCGGTAGTTATCATAAAACTGATGTCAATGCTGCTAACATCGGATGTTCTTGCTTTGACAACCTATGGAGATGCAGCCATTTTCCTTCTTATGTTTTACTCTTAGAGTTAGAATTAGAGGATATGGTGGGGGGGAGAGGAGGGATGTGCATGGGAGTTAGTTAGACATAACAATATTGTTATGTACAAAAAAAGTAAGGTTCTACATTTAGGCAAGAAAAACCAAATGCACAGGTATAGTATAGGGGGTACCTTGCTCAATAGTAGTAACTGTGAGAGGGATCTGGGAGTCCTAGTGGACAATCCCTTAAATAGGAGCCAGCCGTGTGCTGCAGCTGCCAAAAAGGCCAACTCAGTGCTGGGCTGCACTAACAGAGGGATAGAATCAAGATCACGTGAAGTGTTGATACCACTTTACAAGGCCATGGTAAGGCCACACTTGGAATGCTGCATCCAGTTTTGGTCACCACAATATACAAAAGATGCTGAGACTCTAGAAAGAGTGCAGAGAAGAGCAACAAAGATGATCAGGGGACTGGAGGCTAAAGCATACAAGGAATGGTTACTGGAATTGGGTATGTCTAGTTTAATGAAGAGAAGGACGAGGGGGGACATGATAGCAGTCTTCCAATATCTCAGGGGCTGCCCCAAAAAAGTGGGAGTCAAGCTATCCTCCAAAGCCCCTGAAGGCAGGACGAGAAGCAACGGATGGAAACTAAGCAAGGAGAGAAGCAACCTGGAACTAAGGAGAAACTTCCTGACAGTTAGAACAATTAACCAGTGGAACAACCTGCCTCCAGAAGCGGTGAATGCTCCAACACTGGAAGTTTTTAAGAAGAGACTGGACAGCCATTTGTCCAAAATGGTGTAGGGTTTCCTGCCGGAGCAGAGGGTTGGACTAGATGACCTCCAAGGTCCCTTCCAACCTTATTATTATTATTAACAACCTGTCTCCAGAAGTTGTGAATGCTCCAACACTGGAAGTTTTTAAGAAGAGACTGGACAGCCATTTGTCTGAGGTTTCCTGCCTGAGCAGGGGGTTGGACTAGATGACCTCCAAGGTCCCTTCCAACTTTATTATTATAATATTATTATTATGAGGGTTGCAGTGTCCCACGGTCACATGATCACATCTGTAACCTTCCAAACTGGCTTCCGATAAGCGAAGTCAATGGGCGAGGCCAGTTTTGCTTAATGACCGCACAATTCACTTAACAACCTCAGCGATTTGCTTAACCATGAACTGTGGTTAAAAAGGTCATAAAACCGGGCAAAACTCACTCCGCAACTGCCTTGCATAGCAATGGAAATTTTGGGGCTCATAAAGCAGTCCTCAACTTACGACCGCCATCGAGCCTGTAATTTTGGTCGCTAAGTGGGACATTTGTTCATTTTGCCCCATTTTATGACCTTTTTTGCCACAGTTGTTAACTGAATCTGGCTTCCCTCTTGACTTGGCTTGTCAGAAGCTCGCAAGAGGGGCGTCACATGACCCCGGGGGAGGGACACTGCGACCGTCATAAATATGAGTCAGTTGTGGCAAGCGGCTGAATTTTGATCCGGTGACCTTCCTTGGAGATGCTGCAACAGTTGTAAAGTTGAAAAACAGTCACGAGTCTCATTTTTTGGTCCTGTTCTAACTTTGGCCGCTAAATGAACTGTTGTAAGTCGAGGACTACGCGTACTTGCAAATAATAATAATAATAATAATAATAAAGTCATAGAAAATGATAAAATTAAACTGCTCTGGGACTTCAGAATTCAAACAGACAAGCACCTGCAACATAACACCCCAGACTTAACAATTGTCTATAAGAAAGACAAAAAAGTCTGGATAGTGGACGTGGCAGTGCCTGGAGATAGCAGAATAGAAGAGAAAGAACTGGAGAAGATAACAAAATACAAAGACCTACAAATTGAAATAGAAAGACTGTGGCAAAAGCAAGCAAGGGTAGTACCAATAGTAATAGGCTCCTTAGGTGCAATCCCAAAACAACTGGAGCACCACTTGAACACCATTGGCATTGACAAATTCGCTATTAGTCAATTGCAAAAGGCGGCCTTACTAGGGACTGCTTCCATCCTGCGACGATACCTGTAATACCATCAAACATCCACATCTGCCTATCCCAGGTCCTGGGTAAGGACTCGATAGGTAGACAAAATGCCAAATCCAGTCTGAACATCTGGCTGACTGTGCGATGATCCATAATACTACTACTACTACTACTACTACTACTACTAATAATAATAATAATAATGATGATGATGATGATGATGATGATGATAAAGTTGGAATGGACCTTGGAGGTTATCTAGTCCAACCCCCTGCTCAGGCAGGAAACCCTATACCATTTCAGACAAATGGCTGTCCAGTCTCTTCTTAAACACTTCCAGTGTTGGAGCATTCACTGCTTCTGGAGGCAGGTGGTTCCGCTGGTTAATTGGTCTAACTGTCAGGAAATTTCTCCTTAGTTCCAGGTTGCTTCTCTCCTTGACTAGTTTCCACCCATTGCTTCTTGTCCTGCCTTCAGGTGCTTTGGATAATAGCTTGACTCCCTCTTCTTTGGGGCAGCTCCTGAGGTATTGGAAGACTGCTATCATGTCCCCCCTCGTCCTTCTCTTCGTTAAACTAGACATATCCAATTCCAGCAGCCGTTCCTTATATGTTTTAGCCTCCAGTCCCCTTATCATCTTTGTTGCTCTACTACACTGGATCTAGCTCGGAGGATCACTAGCAATACAGATTCAGTAGCTTTCTACTGGACTCGATCTCTTGTGTGATCCCTTCTAATACATCTGTCACCAGAAAAAAACCCAAGCTTGCATCCTGTGACAATGGTGTGAGAAGACAATTTCTTACAAACACAAGGTGGCCGCGATGTCAATTATGTTGGAAAGAATCTAACCTCTTCGGGGATGCTAAGGACCTGCTGGTGACTCAGAAGTCGCAAGATGCAGAATTTGGTTGTTTACAACAGGCAAAATGCCACTGAAGGAGGGCCTGCTCGACTGAGAACAGTGCTGACACAAGACAAAAATTACAGGTTTCCCGTGGGATAAAATAAACCCACCATTATAAATCACCCTTCTGGAGGGACAAAAGTCTAGTCTTCCCATCCCGTGCCCCGAACAAGCCTGGGAAACTGTGGCGAACTTGATGCAAAAGTAGGCCTAAAGAGTGACAGTTTGACATTTTGGGTCCAAGACAGGGGAAGATCGGAGAAAAAAAAAATAGTCTGGAAAAGCCACACCAATTCCCAACAAAAGAATGGCTTTTTAACAAATCTGTTTCACGCGCCTTTGAAACAGAACCAAGCAAGGTTATTCTAAGGCAGAAGAACATCTGCTAATGACCTTGAGTGGAGAAAGGGAGAATAAGGCCAGAAGGACAGATTTCATTTGGGTGCTTCGTCCTCGCTTTAAGAGACGGCAGCAACGACCCCCCCAAATGCATTTTTTTCAGCAAAAAAAATTTAGGACAAGCTTTGGCCTGTTGGTAAAGCCTGCTTGGCCCTGCATTGTGGTCTGTTTACGAGCCAGTTCTCTGCCAGTAAGCCAAACCGAGATATTTCTGGATGTTCCAGCGAAGATCCATGCACGACCCTTCAAACTCCCCCCACCCACCAGAACCAATTTTCCTGCTTGCAAAAAATCCATTTTGGGGGGATTTTTGCAAGCAAATCATGTGCCTTTCGTGGATCATCTTTATAGGTGGGTATTTTGTTTTTTTGCAAAAAGGCCGGCAGAAGAATGAGTCATGCCAACGACGCCCACCGGGCTGTGTGATCCTGTGAAAGCCAAATGCCCCCCCCCCATCAACCAAACCCCGGCCATTTGCACACTTGCAGAAGTCCGAACTTCTCCAGCCATGCAATTTTAACCCTTTCCCTTCAGAACTGCCCAGACCCGTTCTCCTCTCAGCGGTGGTACTTACCTGAGAGAGGCCAGCTGGAGGATAGATGGCAGGGACGATGCTCTGAAACAGATCTTGGCTTGGGGACTTCTTAGAAAGCCGGGGAGATGGAGGCAGAGAGAGGGAGGGAGGATGCAATCCTACTGCAGTGCTCATAGGAGGCGGGTGATGCCTGCTAGCTTGGTCAGCGCCCTGTCAACAGCCGAGGGAGACAGAGAAAAGGCGGGGATGAGAGAAAGAGAGAGACACGGATGCAGCTGGCGGAGAGACACGAAGGATGCTTTCCTGGTTTTCTTTCCCAGCCCTTCCACCTGCATCCTCCATTCCCCGCCTCCCCCATCACCAAAGAGCATCCTTAGTCAAAAGACCAACATCTGCAGGTTTAAGGCATCATCACCTCCTCTACTGGCCCCTTCCATGGTGCTGAGCTTTTGGGGGGGGGGCACTCGGAGGAGAGGCAGCTGGGCTGAGCAATTCTTGCTGTCTGGGGCCCACAAGGGTGGGGAGGAGGAGGAGGAGGAGGAGGAGGAGAAGGAGGAGGGCGGCTTTGCCTAGGCAGCTGCGTACTTGGCTCCTGTGACTCCTTCTTAAAGGGCCCACCGTCCGCAAAGCCAGTTCAATCACGATCCCAGCTGAATCGGGTTTCTCACCTCCGCTTTACCTTTAAATCGGTCCTGCTGTTCACTTCCGTCCTCACCCTGGCCTGGAGCAGCTCAGCAAGGGTGAAAGCGGGTTTTTTTGCATCAAATGTGGGTGGTTTTTTTTGGGGGGGGGGGTATGTGTGTGTGGAAAAAACTTCATTTCTGCAGGTCTGCGGTTAGAGGCGCAACACAAGCCACTAGCAAAAAATAAATAAATAAAAAATAAAATAAAATTGGGCTCCCCCCCCGTCCTTCACTAATGGAATTGTTTCGTTGCGGTTCCCATCTTTTTTTTTCTTGTTTTCTTGTCTTTTTTTATTTATTTGATTGGGAGCTGCGCAGAGTTGTTGGGAGTTGGGCAGCATATAGATTTAGTAAATAATAATAATAATAATAATAATAATAATAATAATTGATCATCACACAGTCAGCCAGATGTTCAGACTGGATTTGGCATTTTATCTACCTATCGAGTCCTTACCCAGGACCTGGGATGGGCAGATGTGGATGTTTGATGGCATTACAGATCTCGTTGCAGGATGGAAGCAGTTCCTAGTAAGGCCGCCTTTTGCAATTGACTAATGGCGAATTTGTCAATGCCAACGGTGTTCAAGTAGTGCTCCAGTTGTTTTGGGATTGCACCCAAGGAGCCTATGACTATTGGTACTACCCTTGCTTGCTTTTGCCCCAGTCTTTCTATTTCTATTTGTAGGTTTTTGTATTTTGTGATCTTCTCCAGTTCTTTCTCGTCTATTCTGCTGTCTTCAGGCACTGCCACGTCCACTATCCAGACTTTTTTGTCTTTCTTATCGACAATTATTATTATTATTATTTATTATATTATTGTTGTTGTTGTTATGGCTGGTTGCAAAGTCAGCCAGGTGTTTAGAATGGATTTGGCATTTTTCTCCACCCACTGAGTCCTTCTCAAGGACCTGGGATAGGCAGAGGTGGCTGTTTAATAACATTAAAGATCTTATCGCAGGATGTAAGCTGATTTTGAGTGAAGCTGCCTTTTGCAATCAATGGGTGGTGAATTTGTCAATGCTAATGATGGCTCAGATATTTTGGTATCGCACCCAAGGTGCCTATTACTATTGGGACCGCCTTTGCTTGTTCTATTTCTATTTGCAGGTCTTTGCATTTGGGGATTTTCTCCAGATCTTTTTCTTCTCTTTTGCTCTCTCCAGCTAAGGCCATACCCCCATCCAGACTATTTTGTCTTTCTTATTGACAAGTGTTAAGTCTGGAGTGTTTTGTGACAGGTGCCTGTCTGTTTGAGTTTTAAAATCCAAGAGCAATTTAGCTTCTTCATTTCCTATGATTTTCCCTATTTTGTAGTCCCACCAGTTCTTGCTTGCAGGCAACTGGTGTTTCTTGCAGATCTTCCGATGCACTGTTGTTGCTACTTTGTCGTGCCGTTGCTTGAAGTCGGTCTGGCAATCTTCTTGCAGCAGCTAAGCTTTTGGTCCACTGTTTCTTCAGCTTCTTTGCAAGAGACAGCATTTGCTGTCTGTTGCGGTCTTCTCAATTGTGCCTTTGGATGCATTTGTTCTTGCTGCTTGCTCTTCTGCAGCCAAAACTAGTCTCTTGGTCTCCTTCTTCAATTTCTCTGCTCTTAGCCATTGCCAGGTCTTGTAATTATCTGTTTCCTGCTAGAGGTGGCGCACCAGTTAGAGTGCAGTACTGCAGGCCACTTTAGCTGACTGTGTTCAGCAGGTCAGCGGTTCAAATCTCACCGGCTCAAGGTTGACTCAGCCTTCCATCCTTCCGGGGTAGGTAAAATGAGGACCCAGATTGTTGGGGGCAATGTAAATATATATATACATTGCTTACTGGTGTACACCGCTTAGAGAGTGCTTGCACTTAAAGTGGTATATAAGTCTCACAAATAAATAAATAAATAAATAAATAAATAAATAAATAAATAAACAGGCCATGTAATACTTTGCCTTGCTATCTCTCTTTTCCGCTATTTGGTCTTTCTTCTAGGCCAGTGTCATGGTTGACTTCTCATAGATCTCTGCTTGCAACTTGACAACAGAAAACAGAAACCACAAAGTAAAAAAGATGTTGAGACTCTAGAAAGAGTACAGAGAAGAGCAACAAAGATGATCAGGGGACTGGAGGCTAAAACATGTAAGGAACGGTTGCTGGAATTGGGTCTGTCTAGTTTAATGAAGAGGACGAGGGAGGACAGGATAGCAGCCTTCCAGTATCTCAGGGGTTGCCACAAAGAAGAGGAAGTCAAGCTATTCTCCAAAGTACCTGAAGGCAGGACAAGGGGAGCAACGGATGGAAACTAATCAAGGAGAGAAGCAACCTGGAATTAAGGAGAAATTTCCTGACAGTTAGAACAATTAACCCGTGGAACAACCTGCCTCCAGAAGCTATGAATGCTCCAACACTGGAAGTTTTTAAGAAGAGACAGAACAACCATTTGTCTGAAATGGTAGTGATGGCAAACCTTTTAGAGACCGAATGCCCAAACTGCAACCCAAAACCCACATGTATCATCGGGTGCTGGGTGGGCGTGGCCAATTGGGTGGGCATGGCTGCCATGGTAATGGCAGACTGGGTGGGACTAAAAGTTCAATCAATTCCAACTTTGCGAGATCTTTTTTTTTCCCCACGAGAAGTTGAAATTGATTGATTGATTGAACCTTTTTTTTTTTTTGCACACAACGGCGGAGGCCTAAAGCAAAAAGGTTTTATAAAACCCAGTTGAAGCCTAGGACTGGGGCGATGGTGCACCTGCCCACAGAGGGGGCTCTGCATGCTGCCTCTGGCATGCGTGCCATAGGTTCTCCACCATGGGAATAGGGTTTTCTGTCTAAGTAGGGTGTTGGACTAGAAGACCTCCAAGGTCCCTTCCAACTCTATTATTCTATTCTATTCTATTCTATTCTATTCTATTCTATTCTATTCTATTCTATTCTATTCTATTCTATTCTATATTGCAATATCTATTCTATTCTATATTGCAATATTTATTCTATTCTATTCTATTCTATATTGCAATTATTCTATTCTATATTGCAATATTTATTCTATTCTATTCTATTCTATTCTACAATATCTATTCTATTCTATTCTATTCTATATTGCAATATCTATTCTATTCTATATTGCAATATTTATTCTATTCTATTCTATATTGCAATTATTCTATTCTATATTGCAATATTTATTCTATTCTATTCTATATTGCAATTATTCAATTCTATATTGCAATATTTATTCTATTCTATTCTATTCTATTCTATTCTACAATATCTATTCTATTCTATTCTATTCTATTCTATTCTATTCTATTCTATTCTATATTGCAATATCTATTCTATTCTATATTGCAATATTTATTCTATTCTATATTGCAATTATTCTATTCTATATTGCAATATTTATTCTATTCTATTCTATTCTATTCTATTCTACAATATCTATTCTATTCTATTCTATTCTATATTGCAATATCTCTTCTATTCTATTCTATTCTATTCTATTCTATTCTATTCTATTCTATTCTATTCTATTCTATTCTATTCTATTCTATTCTATTCTAGTCTAGTCTAGTCTATTCTAGTCTAGTCTATATTGCAATATCTACTCTACTCTATTCTAAACTAGGCAGGGGAGAGAAGATTAGTTGGAATGTATGGGGAGCTGGGAGAGAATTCAAGAGCACTGTGGCCGGAAAGAATTTCTACATCTCAAGGTCAAATGCTGGAAACTTCCAAAAGGCCCAGATGGTTCCCAAAACAAATTGACTATATATGATTGGTGGACAATGGACAGTTGTGTAGTCCAGAGGGAAAAGGGGACTTTTATCTAAGCTGTTTTCCATGCGAAAAAAACCCTCAGGACTGGTTCTTCTTCTTCTTCTTCTTCTTCTTCTTCTTCTTCTTCTTCTTCTTCTTCTTCTTCTTCTTCTTCTTCTTCTTCTTCTTCTTCTTCTTCTTCTTCTTCTTCTTCTTCTTCTTCTTCTTCTTCTCCTCTCTCTTCTCCTCTCCTCTCCTCTTCTTCTTCTTCTTCTTCTTCTTCTTCTTCTTCTTCTTCTTCTTCTTCTTCTTCTTCTTCTTCTTCTTCTTCTTCTTCTTCTTCTTCTTCTTCTTCTTCTTCTTCTTATTCTTCTTCTTCTTCTTCTTCTTCTTCTTCTTCTTCTTCTTCTTCTTCTTCTTCTTCTTCTTCTTCTTCTTCTTCTTCTTCTTCTTCTTCTTCTTCTTCTTCTTCTTCTTCTTCTTCTTCTTCTTCTTCTTCTTCTTCTTCTTCTTCTGAAGTCGTGTCTGACCCTATGTGGAATGATCCATAAAGCTATACTCTTGGAAAAAAACAATGCCCCAGGACTTTCTTTTTTGCTGCATTTGCCAAAGGGACAGTTGACATTAGGTTTCTGTGTGAAAAACCGCTTAGGTAAAAGTCCCCTTTCCCCCCTGGGTCTTCCAGGTATTTGGTCTCTCCGGTATTCAGTAAACCGTCCTAGTGTACTTCAATGTCCTTCAGATATTCTTCCAATGCCCTTGTTTCTCCTTCAGCTATCTGGTTGAATTGCAATATTCCACCTCCACCTATCATGCTTCCTACAGTAACTATATTAGGCCCAGCTGTTGGATTGCAAGAGGACAGACAGATGTTTTTTTACAGGTTAAGTCCTGGACTTACAACCACAATTGAGCCCCCATATTTCTGTGGCGAAGGGAGGCACTTGTTAAACAAATTTGGCCAAATTTTACCCCGACTCACCACAGTTGTTACGCGAATCGCTGCAGTTGTTAAAGCAGTGTCGTGCCTGTTCAATGAATGTGGCGTCCCCATTGACTTTGCTAATCAGAAGGACGCAAAGGGTGGGGGGCCACGTGACCCCGGGACACCGCAACCCGCCATAAA